ATATTTTATTAAATTAGTTTCCGTAAACTAATATTTTTCATTACTTTTAATAATATTCACACTGATAAAATAAACTGTCCGTAAAAGCTTTTCAAATTACATAGTTTCTATGTCCGTGAAAGGTTCCTAAATTCCATAGTTACTAATTTTATAAATCTTTGAAATCATTCAAATCTTAAATTCACCCAGATGACACGAAATTTTGAATGCCAAAAACTTAATAAAACTACATAAACTGGACAATAATAATAATAATAATAAACGACTTTATTAATTTCAGACAATTTTAACAAAATAAATACAAATGTAATTTACATAGAGATCTGAAATTAAAAGGCGAAGTTCAGTTCATTCGTTGACACGAAATCAGCGATGAACTGCTCTTCCACTTAACCTTAAATAAGACACAAAAGAACATAAACAAAGAGTATTAATAAAGAAACTATAATTACACTTAACATCCTAATCTATATATTTGAATACCGATCCAAAAGATATTTCTTAAAATTATTTGACATGCCAATAGTATATTTAAATAAAGATAATAATAGGTCATGATTAATCGTGTCGAATGCCCTACTAAAATCGAGCAAGGTCAAAATAGTACATTTACCTGCATCTTGGGCTTTTATGATATCATCAGCTATGTGGAGAAGAGCAGTTGTACAACTATAACCCTTGCGAAAACCTGACTGGGTACTTGGTAGCACTGAGTGAGATTCAATATATTCTTTGAGCTCCATTTCAATTGCCCTTTCTAGAACTTTGGATAACGTAGGCAGTATACTAATAGGTCGAATGTCCTTATAGTCAGTAGGATTAGTTTTTTTAGGTAAGACTCGTACAACTGCTCGTTTCCATATAGTTGGAAATACATGGTTTATTAGGCAAAAGTTAAGAATATGTGTTATATAGGGCACTATATGTGGACAGCACATACGTAAAAGTTTTATATTTATTCCATCGTCACCAGTTGAATTCGTATTTATTTTTGCAATGGTTTGAAGTACGAATAGATCATTGATTTCTCTAAATTCAAAATTAGAATTAACTAGTTTATTATTGTTGTAATAGAAAAATAATTCAGGGGGTGGATTATTATGAGGTATTGAATTTAAGAAAAAATTGTTGACATTTTCAGGATTTTTAAGATTTTCAGGAATATTATAATTTTTTTCAGGTATTAATTTGTTTGACTTTAGGAGCCTCCAGAAATCACGCGAATTTATTTTGATTAATAATGAAGTAAAAAAAGCACGCTTCTCCCTTTTTATTGCCCCGTTGGTATAGTTACGCATATCTTTATAAAATTGCAGATGAGCATTCGACTTGCTGCTTTTTCGATACCTAATAAGGGCTTTATCTCTAATTGCCATCATTTTTTTTATAGCACCCGTCAGCCATGGAGCTTTAGCTTTAGTTGTTCTAGTAGTTTTGATAGGCATATGCCTGTCATAAAGATTAATTAACAAGTTTACGAACAGCGAAACTTTTTCGTCAACAGCATTTTGATTAAAAATGGCGTATTGAACAAGTCGACTTTAAAATTATCCTCATTAAAGTATTTAAAGCATCTATATGTTACCATTTTGGGCCCATTACTCTCCATTACTAAATTCAATTTACAAAAAGGTAGCTTATGATCTGAAATATAAATATTTGAGGTTTTGTCATCTGTATGAATAACACCCCTCTCCACCACCCAGTCAGAATTAGTAATAATTCCATTTAAAAGAGTAACAGTAGTTGAAGTATCTCTAGTTGGAGAATCTGTAATTTGACATATGTCAAAATAATTTAAAACTGATATTAGTTTATCGACATAATGGTCTGCAAAATTTAAAAAATCTACGTTGAAATCTCCACCACATATAATTCCATCAGTACTAGAGTAAATTAGGCTAAACATATCTTCAATTTCATCAATGAACTTATTTATATTCTCACGGGGAGGTTTATACACAACACCCAGTGCATACGTTTTGTTTTCATGTTTAATTTTAACCCACAACTGCTCAGAGTAAATAGCTCTAAAACTTAATTTCTCACTATACAATTTATCATTAATATATAAGCATAAACCTCCCCTCTGGAATCACGATCTAATCTATAACATTTATATCCTTCTATGTGTACAATATCATCTAGTTCATTTTTTAACCAAGTCTCACAGATAAATAAAATATCATAACAATACCGAGATACTAAGAGAAGGAAGTAGTGTTCTCGCATTCAAACTACCAATTTTTACTTTCCTATCTGTATACAGATATAAGGAAAGTACAGGAATCATGATTTTTTTCGACCTCGAGTTTTCGACGGATTTTTACGTTTTGAGGTCCCCTGAATCCGTTTTGACTATTTTCGCGATGATGTCTGTGTGTGTGTGTGTGTGTGTGTGTGTGTGTGTGTGTGTGTCTGTGTGTGTGTGTGTGTGTGTGTGTGTGTGTGTCTGTATAACGCATAACTCATGAACCGATACACAGAAAAACACCAAATTTTAAACTTAAGCTTTGTTTCAGCGTCCAATGAGCTGATTAGATTTTGGGCAGAGTCGGAACATCTGGGGGGTACTTTATAGGTGGTCATTTTTATATTTTATGGAATATATCTGTTATTTACGTTTGGAGAAGAAAATTCTTCAAGTAAAAGTTACTTCTAATATAATTATCTATAATTTTTGTTTAATGCAAAATTTTCCTAAAATGGTCCGTATTCGAGAAATTTGACAAAATGTAAAAAAAATAATTTTTTATAAAAATTAATCAAATAAAAGTTGTTTGTAATATAATTTTCTATAATTTTTGTTCTATACATAATTTCTCTAAAATGGACCGTATTCGAGATATTTGAGAAAATGTGTAAATTTCGAAATTTGAAGAAAACTCAAAAACGGATAAAGGAAAAAACATTAAATTTTAAACTTAAGGTTTATTTCGGCCTGACGTGAAATGATTAGATTTTGGACAAAGTCGGAACATCTGGGGGGGTACTTTATGGGAGGCCGTTTTTATATTTTATGGAATATATCTGTTATTTATGTTTGGAGAAGAAAATTGTTCAAATAAAAGTTACTTCTAATATTATTATCTATAATTTTTGTTTTATGTCAAAATTTCCTGAAATGGTCCGTATTCGAGAAATTTAACAAAATGTGCAAAATTCTGATTTTTATGAAAATTGTTGAATTAAAAGTTGTTTGCGATATCGATTTCTATAATTTTTGTTTATATATGATTTTTCTAAAATGGACCGTAATGGAAAAGTGCTAAATTTAAATTTTTCTGTATTTTCGTTTTCAATGAATATCTATAGAAAAATGTTTCGAGGTAGATGTATGTGGAAAATGTATATATTTAGTTTATCCTCTAAACATTTATAGAGATGCTGCAATAGGTTGTACAAAATAACCGGAAAATGCCTATAATAACTAGATAGGAAAGTCATGTGTTGGACACATCAGATTTTTAAATAACGCTTCATAAAATAATTTTAAACTCATAAAACAGTCGGTAAATAAATATAAAATTTTTGTGACCAGCTGTGATAAACTGATAAAATACAAGCAACAAAAAGTAGTTTCTCGAAAGACAACCGAATTTATTATAAAGAGACACGTCAGCTGCACGTGTACTGCAATATTTAATCCTTATAAAATATTAATTCTTGAATTAAATTTAAACCTACAGAATTTAACATAAATTTAGAGAAAAAACAAGAAAAAAAATATTTTATCCTTTTAAAATAATACCCATTTATATAAAACTAAACTTACAAGTATTGAAATAAATTAAAAATCAAAGAACAGAATTTTTTAATTTAAAGCAAAAGTGAAATATATTTATGAGAGTTTCTGGAGTTCTTCGATGGAAGTAATCTTATAGATTTCTTCATCTTCAGATTTAAAGTAGATCACACCATGATTTGTCCAAACTTTCCCATTCCTACCCGCCTTGGTTGTAGCTGCTTTCAATAAATTTAATTGAACAGGAGTTAAGTCTTCTTTTAACACTAACCCCGAACCTTTTAACTCATTTTTATTGCTATACGCGATATTTTTATCATAAGATTTATAGAACTTTACTATAATTGGACGGGTTTTACCTTCAATTCGCTTACCAATTCGAAAGCAACTTTCAATATCCGCCGAAATTATCTTTAGATTCATTTTAGTATTTAAGAGATTTAGAACTAGTTGAACACAATTTTCATCACCTTTTTCACGAGAGCCATATAATAGTAGGTTATTTCTTCGAAGATATTGCTCATATTTTTGACAAGACTTGGAAGCATCACTAAGTATTTTTTCATGATTTTTCAATGCAGAATCATGTTCCTCAACTAACAGTTGTTGATTACTTATCTTATTAGCAAGTATTTCATTTTCAGCCTTCCAAGTTCTTATTTTTTCTTCAAACTTCACATTTAGAATATCAAAAACAGAATCACTCAGTTGACTTACGAAATCCTCTGAGGAACACAAAATTGTTAGGATTAATTTTATCGTCGTGTGCAGTTCATCCTCTCCTTTCTTTTGCTTTGACGGAACCATGATAAAAACAATAATTGGTATCAAAATGCACCTAATTATTAATATTTTGCAATTTATGAAACATGATACTACTCACGATCATTAACAGGGACCCTCTTGGAAAGTTTAGTAATTTTCTGTTAACTTTTTCTTATAATTTTTAACACATTTGCAGTACACGATAAGCACACGTCTATTCACAACCAACCATCGCTACGATAATAATACCTTGATCGGAAATTGTTACAACAAACATTTTAAAAAGCAGACAAATGTTTTTTGAATTATGAGTAGTAATAAATAGAAAATAAAAAATTGTAGAATAGTTTAAAACGCAAAACCCGGTAAGTATTCGCCAAAATTCATTATTGCGTAAAATAATATACTATAAACCGGAAAAAATTCACGCCCACAAAATATTTCGAAACTTTTCATGTTCAATGCTAAATAAAAAGAATTTTTCACTAACCTTGTTATTTGTGGGTATTCTTAGAGATCCCTGAACTCAAATATGATGTATAAACTACAATACTACACTCTTCACTGTTCGACGCTCAAACTGTAATGTTCACAATTTAGTTCTCGCTTCTCGTTCCGTTTTGGTGCTGGTGCTGCTTTTGCTTCACTTTTAGTACAATAATTGTTACGGCGTCGAATTTGAAGTCTCGCTCGAGGAATATTTAAACAATTTCATATACATAATACTGATTTACTGATAAGGGTTTACCCATCGACAACATTACGGTAGAGCACGGCAGGCTTGTTTGTGAAATTTTCAGAAAATACTTAATAACAAAACTTAAGGAGAGAAATCGAGACTTTTCGGTAAATCTTCGAAATGTATTTATTTTATTAATTAATTTAAACGGAATTAAAAAAGAATTAATCCCAGCTGTATTAAATCTACGAAAATTTGGGGACGTTAAAGAGGACTGGTATTTACGTGGTCTTCGGGACCCTAGCAGAGCTGGCCCCAGGGTAGGGCGATCCGGGCGGCCGCCCGGAGCGCAATGATCTAGGGGCGCCAAAATCATTGAAAATTAAAATAAACTAAAAAAAAAAATAAGTTACAGGCTTTTATAAAATGCACTAAAAAGTAAAGAATATTTTTTTATCATTCTGATATCATAGCAATAAATTATTTTTCATAATATTGCATTGTCATCGGACCCTTGTAAGTATACCAAATTTCATTGAAATCGGTTCACGGGAATTTTCTCAAAAACGCGTTGCAAGATTTTACTGATAGATTAATAGGCGGCAGGCGGAATTTATCATTTTTACTTTCCTATCTGTATACAGATATAAGGAAAGTATAGGAATCATGATTTTTTTCGACCTCGAGTTTTCGACTGATTTTTACGTTTTGAGGTCCCCTGAATCCGTTTTGACTGTTTTCGCGATGGTGTGTGTGTGTGTGTGTGTGTGTGTGTGTGTGTGTGTGTGTGTGTGTGTGTGTGTGTGTGTGTGTGTGTGTGTGTGTGTGTGTGTGTGTGTGTGTGTGTGTGTGTGTGTGTGTGTGTGTGTGTGTGTGTGTGTGTGTGTGTGTGTGTGTGTGTGTGTGTGTGTGTGTGTGTGTGTGTGTGTGTGTGTGTGTGTGTGTGTGTGTGTGTGTGTGTGTGTGTGTGTGTGTGTGTGTGTGTGTGTGTGTGTGTGTGTGTGTGTGTGTGTGTGTGTGTGTGTGTGTGTGTGTGTGTGTGTGTGTGTGTGTGTGTGTGTGTGTGTGTGTGTGTGTGTGTGTGTGTGTGTGTGTGTGTGTGTGTGTGTGTGTGTGTGTGTGTGTGTGTGTGTGTGTGTGTGTGTGTGTGTGTGTGTGTGTGTGTGTGTGTGTGTGTGTGTGTGTGTGTGTGTGTGTGTGTGTGTGTGTGTGTGTGTGTGTGTGTGTGTGTGTGTGTGTGTGTGTGTGTGTGTGTGTGTGTGTGTGTGTGTGTGTGTGTGTGTGTGTGTGTGTGTGTGTGTGTGTGTGTGTGTGTGTGTGTGTGTGTGTGTGTGTGTGTGTGTGTGTGTGTGTGTGTGTGTGTGTGTGTGTGTGTGTGTGTGTGTGTGTGTGTGTGTGTGTGTGTGTGTGTGTGTGTGTGCGTGCGTGTGTGGGTGCGTGCGTGCGTGCGTGCGTGCGTGCGTGCGTGCGTGCGTGCGTGCGTGCGTGCGTGCGTGCGTGCGTGCGTGCGTGCGTGCGTGCGTGCGTGCGTGCGTGCGTGCGTGCGTGCGTGCGTGCGTGCGTGCGTGCGTGCGTGCGTGCGTGCGTGCGTGCGTGCGTGCGTGCGTGCGTGCGTGCGTGCGTGCGTGCGTGCGTGCGTGCGTGCGTGCGTGCGTGCGTGCGTGCGTGCGTGCGTGCGTGCGTGCGTGCGTGCGTGCGTGCGTGCGTGCGTGCGTGCGTGCGTGCGTGCGTGCGTGCGTGCGTGCGTGCGTGCGTGCGTGCGTGCGTGCGTGCGTGCGTGCGTGCGTGCGTGCGTGCGTGCGTGCGTGCGTGCGTGCGTGCGTGCGTGCGTGCGTGCGTGCGTGCGTGCGTGCGTGCGTGCGTGCGTGCGTGCGTGCGTGCGTGCGTGCGTGCGTGCGTGCGTGCGTGCGTGCGTGCGTGCGTGCGTGCGTGCGTGCGTGCGTGCGTGCGTGCGTGCGTGCGTGCGTGCGTGCGTGCGTGCGTGCGTGCGTGCGTGCGTGCGTGCGTGCGTGCGTGCGTGCGTGCGTGCGTGCGTGCGTGCGTGCGTGCGTGCGTGCGTGCGTGCGTGCGTGCGTGCGTGCGTGCGTGCGTGCGTGCGTGCGTGCGTGCGTGCGTGCGTGCGTGCGTGTGTGTGTGTGTGTGTGTGTATAACGCATAACTCATGAACCGATACACGGAAAAACACCAAATTTCAAACTTAAGCTTTATTCCAGCGTCTAATGAGCTGATTAGATTTTGGATAAAGTCGGAACATCTGGGGGGGTACTTTATAGGTGGTCATTTTTATATTTTCCTAAAATGGTCCGTATTCGAGAAATTTGACAAAATGTAAAAAAATATTTTTTTTTATAAAAATTGTTCGAACAAAAGTTGTTTGTAATATAATTCTCTATATTTTTTGTCCCATAGATAATTTCTCTAAAATGGACCGTATTCGAGATATTTGAGAAAATGTGTAAATTTCGAAATTTGAAGAAAACTCAAAAACGGATAAAGAAAAAATCAATGAATTTTAAACTTAAGTTTTATTTCGGCCTGACGTGAAATGATTAGATTTTGGACAAAGTCGGAACACCTGGGGGGGTACTTTATGGGAGGCCGTTTTTATATTTAATGGAATATATCTGTTATTTATGTTTGGAGAAGAAAATTGTTCAAATAAAAGTTACTTCTAATATTATTATCTATAATTTTTGCTTTATGTAAAAATTTTCTGAAATGGTCCGTATTCGAGAAATTTGACAAAATGTGCAAAATTCTGATTTTTATGAAAATTGTTAAACTAAAAGTTGTTTGCGATATCGATCTCTATAATTTTTGTTAATACATGCTTTTTCTAAAATGGACCGTAATGGAAAAATTGTAGGAAAAGTGCTAAATTTAAATTTTTCAGTATTTTCATTTTCAATGAATATCTATAGAAAAATGTTTCGCGGTAGATGTATGTGGACAATGTATATATTTAGTTTATCCTCTAAATATTTATAGAGATGCTGCAATAGGTTGTACACAATAAACGGAAAAAGCCTGTAATAACTAGATAGGAAAGTCATGTGTTGGACACATCAGATTTTTATTTCTAAGAACATAATTCAAATAATATAATATATTTAAACATTAAGGCAAAATCTAGTTGAATTCAATTCAACATGACAAAACCACTCAACCACCGCCTTTCAAGAATTGACAAGTTTTTCGGCCCGTGACAACACGACTGTACAGGAAACAACTATTTTGAAACCAAGCCAAACAAGATCTAACAGCCCTTTTTAACTGCATATAAAAAGGAAGTAGACTTAAAACAACGCATTATTTGTCTATGATTATTTGCCACTAGACTTCGACTGGTGCGAAATAAAATAGTTTGTTTAAATTGTTAGTGCAAAAAAGCTTTAAAAAAGTGCTTGTGCAAATTGTCCAGTGCGTTTGGCTTCTGTGAAGTTAAGTGTTTTAATTTTTGTTTTAATTTTTAAAAACTAAAAAAATCCATAAGACATAAGCCCAAAAAAGCGTGGGGGTAGATTTCAAAAATTAGAGTTTAGATCAAAACATGGCTTGTGTGGTGTCAAATGAAAGGTAATTGAGTCTGGAGTTGAATAAAATGCATTTTATTTTTTTAAGCCAGTGGCGCATAGGGGTATTTCAAAAATTAGAGTTTACATCAAAAAATGGCTTGTGGTATCAAATGAAAGTTGATTGAACTTGCAGTTGAATAAAATTTATTTTATTTTTTCAAGCCAGTAGCGCACAAGGGGGATTTCAAAAATTAGAGTCTATATCAAAAAATGGCTTGTGTGGTATCAAATATATAAGGCAGTAGATAGTAAAAGGTCATGTATAGGTGTATTTCTAGACTTAGCAAAAGCCTTTGATACCGTCGATCACCATATACTATTAAAGACGCTTGAAGACATGGGTATAAGAGGTACCGCACAAAATCTTTTTAAGTCATATCTTTTAAATAGAACTCAACAAGTTAAAATAGAGGACTCTTTTAGCGATAAACAAGTAATTACATGTGGTGTACCTCAAGGTACAGTGTTGGGGCCAATTCTTTTTACGATATATTTAAATAATATTTTTCTGGTCAACTCCAAAGGTGATATTATTAGCTTTGCAGATGATACTGTAATTTTTTACGAAAATGCAACATGGTCCGAATTAAAAGCAAAAATTGAATCTGACCTTCCCCGAATTAAAGAGTGGTTCGATAATAAGCTCTTATCTTTTTAACTTTAAGAAAACCTTTTTCTCGCCCTTCTGCAGTTATAGCTCACATCTTCCAGACTTTGATGAATTATCAATTCAAGGTGATCTTAAAATTAAATTCACAAGTACTATAAAATATTTAGGCATTATAATCGATAATCATCTCAGATGGGATCACCATATAATCAATCTTCTTAAAAAGCTAAGATGTGTAGTATACAAATTAAAACAGGTTTCTTATATACTCGAAGAGCAACATTTGCGGATGTTGTACCATACACTTTTTGAGCCTCACCTTACCTATGGCATTATTGCTTGGGGAAGTGGAGCGAATACATACCTCAAAAAAACAGAAATTATACAAAAACGACTATTAAAAATAATTTATAAAAAAGAGCCCCGGTATTCTACACACTTACTTTATTCTGAAACAAAGGTTTTTGACGTTAAGCAATTATTATTTTTAAGTATTGCCACAACACAGTTCAAAAATAAACATAAATTAACATATAAATATTACCCATATGATATTAGAGGACATAGTCAATACCTAGTTCCGTTTATGTATAAATCTGTCGGCCAAAGAAGCTACAGTTTCTTAGGGCCAAAAATTTTCAATTATTTGCCTATTAACATAAAAGAAGAAAATAGATTTAAAATATTTAAAGTACTTTTAAAAAAACATTTACTGGAATTTCCTAGACTTTTAATACATGATTTAATAGATAATAATATATAAATGCAAAAAAAACTCTTTATTCTGCTTGCTTATTCATAATTATTCATAATAATTTATAATAATATATATTTAACATTATTATTTTTAATTTTTTTGTTCTTTTTATAATATACTGTCACATAAAATTGATC